ACTATAAGAAGAAAAAGCTATGGAAAGAAAGAACTACAAAAAGAAAGAGCCACATGAAAAGAAAAAGGATTATGCAAGACTAACAAATACTTGATGCCTTTAAGTATTTTTGTTGTGATTGATTCAAATAATAGAAGCCGTATTGTGGTAACAGCTATAGTTTTTAATAAAACAGTATCAACTTATAAATAGATTTTAGAACAAACTATATTAGCTGCAAATAGTCTTCAACCAACAATGATTTTTACAGATACCAATCTAGCAATGCAAGTAGCTATAGCAAATAAGTATTCTGAAGCTATTGTTCAATATTATATATTTTATATTCATCAAAATCTAATTAAAAAGCTTAAAAAGAAGCTCCATAACAAGTGAGACAATTTTTTAATAATTTTTTTGATTAACTTTAGAGTTAGGGTCATCTTATATTAGGGTTAGATTAGATTTTAGTTAGTTATATACAAGCAAAATTGCCTTTCTGACATTTTTACTTAACCACCTGAGATAGATTTAGACTGCCGTTCTTTGTATTTTTTAGGTTTTTCATTTTTGTTTCTTGTTTTGCTTCGTGGTAATCATCAAAATTCTATAATTTGATTGGTTGTAGTTATGTAAATTTGCTGACAACCCCAAAGAGGTACGAGAAAATTTTTAGGCATGCCCCTAGGGGCATGCCCTTACTAGAGGCATGCCTTTTAGTTTAAAGGCATGCTCTTGGGCATGCTCACAGACTCTGTACCCCACCCTAGATCTAGCTTACCTCTTCAAAAGATCAACATATTGTTTATTTTCCAAATCGAATAGCATTGTTTACTTTTTTACTTGTCACAACAAACACATAGATATATATAGAGTAGTGGACTTATAATTATGTGCCTCGAATGTGACAATCTAGACAAACAATGTTTCGAGCTCAATGGTATGATTTTCCAACCTCTCTATAGTGCCAATTGTCGAAGAAGCTTTCTTTTTTTGTTTTTTTTTTAGGTTTTAAGTTTAAATATACTATATATATAAATTAGTATAGAGAATAGTTTAGATAGTA